GTAATATTAGATATCTCATTGATTAGATGCTGAAATGGCCATAGTTTACCTTTTTGTTTAAAAAAAGGTACCTTGTGGGATCCCTGGGTGGCTCAGCGGTTGAGCATCTGCCTTTGGCTCAGGGCGTGATCCCAGATTTCTGGGATCAAGTTCTGTATCACGCTCCTTGCATGGAGCCTGCTTCTCCTCCTTCTGCCTATGTCTCTGCCTCTCTTTCTGTGTCTCTCATGAATTAAAAAAGAAAAAAAGACCTTGTTATTCACTATTTTTTTTTCTCCTTTGTGTAAGATATGGATGAGTGCAAAGAACCTGATGTCTGTAAACATGGGCAGTGCATCAATACAGATGGCTCATACCGCTGCGAGTGTCCCTTTGGTTACATTCTGGAAGGGAATGAATGTGTAGGTAAGTAATAGATCAGTTTCTTCCATAGGGATTTTACAAATTAGAAATTAGGCTATAGAGCATTCACACTAGGAAGTGTAAGTACCAAGATTGGGACAGAAGTAAGTTTTGTCCATTCGTTCATGCGTTATTTATCTGCAGTACTAGTTGAGTACCCTGTGTCCTAGGCTCTGTGGCTACAGCAGTGACCCACGCCAACATGTTTCTTCCTTGCATGGACCTTACAGTCTAATGAGGAAGACACTATAGACATATCTGAAGTCATTGTGGGAAGGAAAACTATCATATATTTTTTTAATTTTTTAAAAGATAAATGGTCATAATCTTATTCTCTCAATATATAAAACATTTATCCAGATTTTATTACATTTAGTAATGTGAAAGCTATGTACACAATATAAACTCCTCTTGTTTTTGCTCTTTTTAAAATTTCAAAGAATGGCTATGTCTGACCTTTGACCTCTTGATCCATAATAATTCTAAATTGAATCCAAGTATTATGTTTATTCCTCTAAAATTTCACCCACAGCTATGACCATGAAGCATAAGCTTCCTTAGTTTTTCATAAGTTCCTTAGTTTTTCTAGGCCTTAGAATGTCATATTATGCAAATAGACTTATTCGTAATTACCCTGCAGCTCTAAAAATCAGTGATACTGTGATGTTTATTGACTTAAAAGAGATGCAATATTCTGGACAGTGAAATGCAATTTCATAGCAGAATAAAAGCAAAATTGTTAATGTTTTCTCTCTGGAATCTTCAGTTAGTGCCTCTATGTGCATGTTAAACAAGCCTTCTCATACAGTCTGTCTACAACAGCCTCTTGCCTTCACTTTTTGACTCAGAACCCACCAGAAGATATAACCCTGATCATAGTCCATTACTATTCCATGTCCTAGAGAACTAAGATAACTATTATTTCCCCAAAATTTCCCTTTCCCAAAGGAAGATATTCTCTCCAAGTGATTTGTCAGAAGAACAGTCAGTATATTCTAGGTGGATGGGTTGGGAGGTATATATATATATTTTAGACCTCTGGTAAAACTTGTTCTCTCTCCATGGTTGTTTACAGAGATCATACCCTAAACATATTTCTTTCTAGTTTTTCTTCTGCCTGATGTAAACCATCTGGTTTCAACAGAATCAACAAAAATCTTCTTGAATCTTGATTTTATCCAGTGTATTAATTTTGCTTAACCTCTAGTCTCTTGTTTTGTGTAAGCTTAGTCTTCTATTTTATGTCTGGCATCATGTTTAAAGCTTCTTGGAGAATGATGTAATGTAAGGCCAGACTGGAGATGTATTTCTAGCTTTATGTAAGTGAAAACTTTTGACTTGTGAGAGAAGCCTTGTTTTAACCCTTGAAGCGTCTATTCCTGGTAGATTTATTACAGGACCCTGGAAAAGCTCATGGAGAAGAACACTCTGAGAGGTGGAAGCCCAGATATTTTAGTGCCACTGCCACTTAGCAGGTCAAAAGTCATAGCTATCAATCTGTGGAGTTAAGACACATGTACTCCTTTCTTGCGAAGGCAGAATGAAGATAAAACAAGATGCCACTGATCAAAGTGCTCCCATATAGTGAGAGGTACTGTTTGACTCCAAGTCCATTTTTTTCTTAGTTCATAATGTCTTGAATACTTCTTGCTTGCAGATACTGATGAATGTTCTGTGGGCAATCCTTGTGGAAATGGAACCTGCAAGAATGTGATTGGAGGTTTTGAATGTACCTGTGAGGAGGGATTTGAGCCTGGTCCAATGATGACTTGTGAAGGTAAGCCTCTTTGCAGAATAGTTGGTTACATGTTCTGGTCCTGTCTTATTACAGGACCTGATACTAAATACCACTCAGTGTATAGAAGAAAGAACATCTAGGCCTAATGGGCCATACCCTTATTCTCCTGAAAAAGGTGGAAGTGGTTCGTGGCACAAATTACACTGCATAATATGCAGAGTTCTTTTGGCTGTCTCCCTACTGCAAGTATATTTGGATAGAACTCCTGTCTTGTTTGCTACCTTCCTTCTTATTTTCCATTTTCCCCTTCTTTTTCTTTCTTCATCTCCCATGTTCCCTCACTTTTTCCTTTCTACTTACAGAAACATCTGACATAACTACTAACATCCTATAGCCATCTGGGGACAATTACAGCAAAAGAGTTGCCTATGCTCTGTAAGCATCTATCAGTATGCCTAGTGAGCAAGATGTATGGAGAGAAGGGAAGGAAAGGGAGTGTCTAGAACAGTGGGTCTCAAAGGGTGGTCCCTGGATCAGCCACATCAGTATCACCTGGGAACTTGTTAGAAATACTGATTTTCAGGCCTCATCCCAGACATCCTGAATGAGAAACTTGAGTGGAGCCTAGTAGCCCTCCAGGTAATTTTGATACACTCTCAAGTCCAGACCATTGGTCACAAAAGAGAATGAAAGGGAGGTGAAAGTGAAGGATAAAAATGGATGTATCTATCTAACTATAAAATGGACATCTATATCTATATATAATGGACATATATATCAACATATATATAGATATATATACCAATATATAATGGATACACCTTTAATGAAAAGAGAGTTTTTTATTAGAGATATGTCCTATCAATACCCATTGTCCTAGCTGTTGTTGAATCTTTAAAGGCTATGACTAAATATAATCTAGGGTCTCGGGCAGCCCCGGTGGCTCAGCGTTTTAGCGCTGCCTTCAGTCCAGGGCATGATCCTGGAGACCTGGGATCAAGTCCCACATCAGGCTCCCTGCATGGAGCCTGCTTCTCCCTTTGCCTGTGTCTCTGCCTCTCTCTCTCTCTCTCTGTGTCTCTCATGAATAAATAAAATCTTTAAATAAAAAAGCCAGGGTTTCACTGATGTTCTCAGTCAGCATCATTGGACTTAGAAACATGATAATCAAGATGGTCTGTTTTAACCCTGCTTTTCCAAAATGTATTTGGATGCTTCCAAACTATGAAATCTGTAGAAATCACTTTTATCTATTAACAGTAAAGTCATGGCTATTTAAGGTCACGACTTGGACATCAGTATAAACTTTCCATAAGTATAAAATAATTCAGAACACCATTTGCTTGGGCACAAGAATCACTGTTATTTTACAGGACCCTCTTTTATATGGGGAAGGGGAGCTGCTTAACAGTATTGGGTGGGTCTGCTTCTGTTCTGATTGCAATTGACTTGGCAATTGTTTTGACTAAATGGGGGTAAAACTGACTCCCACCCTATGTGACTTCAGGGAATGGCAAGTGATCAACTTGAGACTTCAAAGCCAGAATTTCAGAAAAGCTCCCTATATGTAGGGTGGTCTATAATTTCTCATCCATCTAAATAACATTAATAATACTTATACCAGGACAATAAGCCAGAACTGGGACTATGCTAGGAGAATTATGCTAAGAGAACCAGGACACCTGATCACTTTCCTTATACCAATTATAAAAAAGCCAACTCATTTTATGATTCTTTGGAAACCAGTGATTGCTTGGTACATCCATATCGATGACAATGAAGCATTTCAACTTTTGATTAAAATAGGGGTTTTTTTTTTGGTTGATGCCCATGATACATTATTTTCCATGCCCCTTCTGCTGCAGATATAAACGAATGTGCTCAGAATCCTCTGCTCTGTGCTTTCCGGTGTGTAAACACTTACGGGTCATATGAATGCAAATGTCCCGCTGGATATGTTCTGAGAGAAGATAGAAGGATGTGCAAAGGTGAGATATCATTTTACCTGGGGGGCTCTCACTCTACTATGGGAAATGTCTCTCCAAAGCTTCTATTAGTAGAGAAAGACTGGGGATCAGGGAACTCTTCCATAGTCCATGGACAATATGGGGTCATCATTGCCTATAGTATGATAATATTAAATTAGTTAAATAATATTTTTTAAAACAAATCTCCATCACTAAGGATGTTATATTCCAAGAATAGGGATAGCATATGGAATCCACGTTAGTTAAATAATTTCCATTTAGTAAGTAAATGCTTACTGAATGCCTGCAATTACATGGTTCTGGACTAGGTTCTGCTACACAAAATTATGTAAATCATGGGCTCCCGGAAGAGCACTGATTTGCTTCTCCAAGGTCTTAAATGAGCAGCTACTTGTTCTCTTCAGATGACGTGAATAGGATTTTTATTGAAGGTGAACAGATTTCCTAAGAGCTCTACATCATATGCAGGATAAGTCCAAATTTTCCAGCTCAGACCATGTAAAGGAGAAAGATAAAGAGAGGGAAATGCAGTAGGTCAACAAGGAAAGAAGACCTTTCCACACCAGAAAAAAGGAAATGAGAAAAGGAAGAACCAGGAGAGAATATGATATACATGAATGTTTGTCTTTTCCTCAAAGTATTAAAACCAAAATTTGCATTATATAATTATTCTAATCATATTAATAATAATAAAATCAGATATATTAATATTACATAAAATTTCATATATTACTATAATGATTATAATGGAATTTGTGGCTTATTATACCATATTGTAACTGTAATGCTGTTATAATTATTATGAAAGTTTTATATGAGGCCCTTTTAGTTGAATTCATCAAAAAGAATTAACAGCCATGCTACCTACCTTTGAAGAGGTTGTCAGAGAATAATTTCTTCATCAAGTTCAAAGGTGGTTAGAAGACTCCTTCCCATCTTAGGAGGCCAGCACCCACAGTACAAAAGGAAACAGGTTCACATGGAAATAAGTGTAAATCAAAACTGATGACTTGATACCATCTCATGCTTAAGACACAGGAAATTAATGCAGCTGCTTTTATAATTCGTGGTTGTGTGTTCTCTCCAGATGAGGATGAGTGTGAAGAGGGCAAACACGACTGTGCTGAGAAGCAGATGGAGTGCAAGAACCTCATTGGCACATACATCTGCATCTGTGGGCCTGGCTATCAGCGGAGACCTGATGGAGAGGGCTGCGTAGGTAAGGGACTCCTGGCCCCAGGAGCTTCAAGTAAGTCAGAAGTAACAAGTGACAAAAGGAACCTAGATTCTGAGTCCCTGTGGGCAATGTGTTCTTCTTGGCCAGAGCCATCTTCCCTCTCTACTTCACTCATGCCACCATTTCCCTTAGAGAGCCCCTTGCCTCTTGATTACCTCTGAGTTCCACGAGCACTGTTACTCTCTCCCTGCCTCTGTTCTCAGCCCATTTCACTGCCAGGATTTGGCAGCAGGTGCCTCCTCTATTTCTTTCCTTTACTTCCTAAACTTTCTGTTGTTTCAGGGTAAGTTCTCTTCACCATACTGGAATGTGTTTCTATTGACCCAACTTTGCTGTTCGCACTCTGACACTGAATGACAGAGGCCAGGTCCCTCTGAACCAGAAATAGCACTAAACTAAGGGGATCTTCCTCCAGAGAGTCTCTTCTTGTCTAGAGTAGGGCCCAGGCACTGGCATTTCTTAAAGCCTCCTTGGTGATTGTACTGTGAAGCCTCCACTGAAAATCACAGCTCCAGACCCTGGGTTGGCAAACTACAGCCCAGGGGTCAGATCCAGCCTGCTAGCCTGCTGCCTATGTTTGTAAGTAATGTCATATTGCAGCGGAGCTGTAACCATCCATTTATACATCGTCCATGGCACTCTCATGCCACAATGGCAGAGAATAGAGTGAAGGCAACAGAGATCTATGGCCTGCAAAACCTAAAACAGTTACAATATATAATAAAGTAATACTGTAATATCACTACAATTTAGAGTTAAAATTTCCTAACCTCTGGTTTAGATAGTCGATACAGGTGAAAATTACCAGAAAGTTGCCATATGCTTCTTGTTGATTTTTAATGATCAGTGACACCAGAAAAATAAATCTTATGCTATCAGCCAAGAAGCTTAAGAATCTCATTGCTGCCTAACCCTGTAAGATATGGAATTAAACAGTAATTGAAGAACAGACTTTAAAAGCACAGAAAAAGTGTTTGGACACTAGCTCTTCCAGGTTCAGTGGTTCTCAGCCTCAGTTGCACACTGGAATCACTTGGAGAACTCAGGTCCTGCCCTAGACATTCTGATTTAATTGATCAGGGGATAGCATGGGATGGGGATTTTTAGCCTATTTCAACAACACTGTAGCTGTCATCTCCCAAGTCTGCCTCTCATAATGAGATCCCTGCCTCGGGGGTTCAGAACTATTCTACATGGCATGTACCTAAGCAAGTCTATTTATAATCTTTCTAAAAAATCATCAGATCATTCTAAGAACCTCCAGTTTGTTTTAATGCTTTTTTTTTTTTTTTAAATTTTTTTTTTTTTTAATTTTTATTTACTTATGATAGTCACAGAGAGAGAGACAGAGGCAGAGACACAGGCAGAGGGAGAAGCAGGCTCCATGCACCGGGAACCCGATGTGGGATTCGATCCCGGGTCTCCAGGATCACGCCCTGGGCCAAAGGCAGGCGCCAAACCGCTGCGCCACCCAGGGATCCCAATGCTTTTTTTTTTTTAAAGCTGCGAGACTGGATTATTTCTCAATAATATTGTTGAAATATTACAATAAACCTGATCTTTTTTTTTTTTTAATAAACCTAATCTATGTTGAATTGGAAGAATATGTGTAGACAAACTCTCAGGTCAGAACTGACCCATCACAGACTTATTCTGATGAAGTATAATATTCCTATAACACAGGATCTTTTTTTTTCCTCCTTCACTTGAAATAATCCTTTGGGAATCTTTTATATGAACAGATACTGAAAATCTTTAATTTTTATTAAGTGAAAAACTGTACATAAAATGCTGCCATCTACATTTAAGTGTATCAGCGTGCCATCAAATATGTTTTTAAAGGACAGAGGAACACAAGTACACAGATACATGCACATATGTATTTGCTTGTATATGCGAAATCCATTTCTAGAAGGATGCGTAAGAACCGGCAGTGGCCTGGTTGCCTCCCAGGAGGGGAGTTTGGTGGCTAAGGAAGAGGGAAGGAAGGGATACTTTTGCTGAATATTCTATTATACCTTTTGAATTGGGAACCACTTTAAGAGGTTATCTCTTCACAAACTAAATTGGAAAAAAGAAAGACTCCATCCTTTGTGCAAAGGGGTAAGATGACTGCTCTTGTTCTTGCTCTTTCCATTAAACCCCACAGATGAGAATGAGTGTCAGACTAAGCCGGGGATCTGTGAGAATGGGCGCTGCCTCAACACGCGGGGGAGCTACACTTGTGAATGCAGTGACGGCTTCACCCCCAGCCCTGCCCAGGATGAGTGCCTTGGTAAGTACAGACAACAGGATGCTTTCACAACCCAACCTTCGTGCTGGGATGCTTGTCACCCAGATCTCTGATCTGAAAGAACAGACATTGTGAAAATTTGAGAAGGGTTCATATTTTGGAAATGACTTAATGACCGTGATGGCCCATGGGGCTTAGCACCACCCTGCAGCTAAATTCTTCCTTTGCTAATTGTATCAATGAATCACTTGTTTGGAATTTCTTTCTCCCTGCCTTTTTAAGCTTTAGGTGCTCAGGATCAGTTTCCATGTGTTTTTCTGCTCCTATTTCTCAATAGCATGACCACTCTTCCATATTTCTGGGAGCAGAGAGAGTTGTAAACTTGCATAGGCCACTGACTGAATTTCTTGTCTTGTTTCCTTCAGACGTCATCCTTTCTCTCTTACTGCTGTTTCCAGCTTTCCCTTCTCGCTTCTTCTCACCCAGGGTAAAGTGTTACATCCTTTTTGGGTTTTATATTTAACCAAATTCTTAGTACCTTGTTACGCTCTTAAAATTCCCTAAAATCCTCTTTGCAATATAATGTCCCTTCCAGACAACCGGGAAGGGTACTGCTTCACAGAGGTGCTCCAAAACATGTGTCAGATCGGCTCAAGCAACAGGAACCCTGTCACCAAGTCTGAATGCTGCTGTGATGGAGGGAGAGGCTGGGGCCCCCACTGTGAGATCTGTCCTTTCCAGGGCACTGTGGCCTTCAAAAAACTCTGCCCCCATGGACGCGGATTTATGACCAACGGAGCAGGTATCTCCTTTCGTTCTGATTGAAGTGAAGCAGGTAATTTACTTATGATCCAAAAATACTTGCAGGGAATCTGCTTGTTTTATGAAAAACAGTTGAGAATGTGGAATCTACAGTATAGGGCTTAGGCTGAATTGCATGGTTTCCATCAACCAAAACTCTTTATTTATAGTATTTTAGGTGTTCAAGGTCAGCTTGCCAAAGTTGTGCTTGGGTCCCTGCCTCTGCATCACAAGGAATCCCTGACTTTTTAAACAGAAGTTTGTTATAAGTCAGTTATTGGTTACTCAGAATGTAATTTTTTTAGATAAACTTTGGAATAAATGATCACTAAATTCCTAGACTAGTCCACCAGTATGCATTTTAACTCATAAAATTGGCTGGAATATGCTACATGAAAGAAATATAAACAATGCTGATATACTGGCAATTAAAACACAACTGCCTCTGGAAAAGTGCCAGCTGCTTTCACCTAGTAGACATGGAGGAGGCTGTCAGGGTGTGTGAGGTAGCTCTGGAGAGGACTCCCAGGCCTGTGCTTCTCACCAGTAAACTGCACTTGTTTCCAGTCTCATAAAACGAACAGAGAGAGAGACTTCTCGAGCTCCATGGGAAGGAACTGGAAGTGAGAGGGGAGAAAGGAGAGAAAGCAGGATTTGTGTTGATGTTAGAAAGACGTGGCTAAAGGTAGAATAACAGAACTGGATGTGGTAAGACACAGAGCTGGATTAGACGGGGTGACCAAAAGCAATTTATGTCTCTTCCAAATATGTGAAAATGAGATGGTGGATGAGACCTGCTTCTCGAGACCAGGGAGGGCAGGCAAAATTACATTTCAGGGTAAATTGGAAGAGTAAGGATAAATAACATTTGTTGGTATAATATGGTTGTTTGGCAATCGAAGGCTATGAAGTCATTAGGCATTGGTGCCCCAGCAAGCAGTAGGGAGCTAGATGGGTCACAATGTGAAAGGACAGTGGCTTTAGTGCTCAACAGTGCATATTGACCAGATCTTTCTCCCTGGGGTTGAACTGTGAATAAGAGTCTCTCTTCCTTATCAGGCTGTGAAAATTCAGCCCAGAGATCCAGCCCGGAGTCCTAGTGCTTCCCTCACCAAAGGAAGTTTGGTCCCATTTCCTCAGTAGTATGCAATTTGATATTTTTCAGGATTAACTTTACAGCAAAAAGAATGGAAGGAAACCTCCCTCCTTATCTTGGACATATAATATTAGAAAAAATGGCATTTTCTTGTCAAACGAGTCTACTGCTATGATCCATTTATGAGAAGTCAGCAGGAGGCAAGTTTGATGGCATAAGATAGAGCAAGGAGCCGGATATGCCTGGAAGAGACAGATGTCTGGGAACCCAGAAGGGAAAACTATAACTATAGAAAACGGATTATTTTTAAAGTGTTCCCCTAGCCTGATTAGTTATTATACTATCATCCAGTGCAGTTATTCATTTATTACCATTACAGATGAAATTTACACTGTCATCCCTTTGGTTTCATTTCTCCGGTCCACAGTTTATTAGTATTTATAGTGAGGTCACCTCCTGCATACATGCATACATGTTTCATAATGTCTTTATTTTAACTTCTGTTACATTGACAGATATTGATGAATGCAAGGTTATTCATGATGTTTGTCGAAATGGGGAGTGTGTCA